GTGTGTGTGTGTGTCTGCGTGTGTGTCCTGCTGTTGCATCTGCAGGCCCTTGTTAACCACCCCCCCTCCCCCCTCACGCACCAACTCCACCACTTCAGATGTTTTGGCGTCCTGTCAGGAGCGCCTGGCCCAGTTCCACTCGCCCCACCCGTTTACATCCTCTCCCCGCCTTCGAGAACTATATTTGATTCCCGCTGAGCGGCTGAGACACGGAGCGCCATTCCAGCCGTATGTGGGAAAAACTCTGCTAGAAAACCTCGATATTTCCCCACAGACTGCAGAAACGTGGCCGAGGCTCCAAAACGGTTTCTCAGACGGGATCGCAGCTGGCCGTCACACTGACCATCTGTGGCCGCAGCTACAGCCCACTGAACCACCACCACCACTCCAGCTTACATGTTTGTGATTCCAGCAAGAAAAAACCGAGCCGTGTTTCTGGCTCCGTCCTCCAGCTGTCGTGAGAACTTTTGGTCTGTCATGTCAGGACCAGACAAACCGTCCAGTGACACGCTTTAATCGACCGTGAGATGCGTGTTCCACTCGGTAAACAAGCCTGAGTGTGAATGCTGCTGGTAGCGCTTCATAACTAATGACACATTCAACGACCACGTTTCTCCAACACCTGAGCTTCCTGTTATGAAACGATCAGCAAATAAAAAAACTACAAACTGCAAATAAACTTTGGACTCTTGCTGCCTGACGCAGTCGCTTCCTCTGCTGGGATCCAACTCGTCTTTACAGCATCATCACTTTGAGATTTGGCTCACGACAGACATCTTACTCTAGTTTCACGTCGGCTTTCAGTTCAGCAACTTTCTGCTTCTGTTCCACATCTGTGGCTGTGTACCCACGCCACAGAGTGGATTCAAAACGCCGACACAGGTTATTAATATTCCTAAAGGAGGGCAGTTATTGTTTGACACTTGGGTGCGAGCACACGAGACCGTTCAGAGGAAATGGATGAAGCATTTAAACGTTTGATGATATAGACCTGCCTCTCCTGCAGCTCCTGACGTGTTAGGACAGCTCTTATGACTCCTGGAGATAAGATGACTCCTCCTGATAAAATGCTTTTAATTCTCGGCCTATAACTGGAGTCTGCTGTGTGTTTAGTGTGAGCAGGTTTCACCTTTCATGTAACCAACTCACCTGAGAAGGAGTTATCTGCGAAGCGGAGCAGGAGGCTGCTTTTTCCCACATCTAAAGGGGGGAAAAGATCAGAGGGACGAGATTAATATCTGTTTGAGTAAAGCCTACTATGACCCCCACTGTAACTTTAGTGACAGCCACATACCAGCAGAACACACAGATGGGAGGAGGTGAGATAAGGAAAGTGAAACAACACAAAATAGGACAAAGGTTGAACTCGCACTGGACATGTGTGAGAAAAGCATCTGAAGAAAACCTGACAGAGGAGAGCCGACGAAGCAGGAAGACGTCGGGCTAAACGGAGAAATCGATGGGAAAGTTACAGTTTTCTCAGAGCATTAAAGTGTTAGAGACTACACGCCTGTAAAAACAAGTCCTGCATCTGCTTTGCAGGCTGGATGTTTGCAGCTGACACTTGTGCTGTCTATCAAAATCAGATTCCAGAAGCTGGAGAAAAAAAAAAGAAAAATCACTGCTTGGTTCAATCATTTAAGCGGTTTTCCAAAACAAGACTGGACTAGACTCGTTCAGCAGGCTCGGAGATGGAGCTCGTTTATCAGGAACTGAAACCTCTGCCTGCTACGCCTCACAGATGGACGATAAACGTGACAGCATTACTCCTCGCAGAAACAGCTCTGCCAACGAAAGGCACGAGAACTATGTCGAGCTGAAAACTGGAAACTCGCAGCAGCTTCCTGAAACAGTCTTTCCATCCAGGCACACGTCTCATGTGCAGCGATGAAATCCACCCACTGCTCTAAAATAAGTTCCTGCAGGGAAGAAGGTGACCGACAGTGACTCAGCACCTCCTGCAGGAGGCCTGACAACAAAAGCCCTGAAACTACAACATTCGATCAATAACTGGAGCCTGCTCTCCAAAGCAGAGGATCAGTTTGTTTTATGGAGTCATCTTTGTTTTACTACGAGCTTGGAGAGAGTTTGTTTTCTTGTTCTCGTGCTGAGAAAGTGACATTAAACGAGTTTTCCTGGGAACGCGCTCCCAACACAAAACCAGGCTCTGCTGAGGCCCGCGGTGCTGGCATCCCAACATGCTTTGCAGCGTCTGAACTCGGACTTTGTGCTTTCAAACAACATCTGGATTCATGAAATGTTAAAGTTTAATTATCATTATTTTTATTTAGGTACTCAGTCACTCTTACTGGTTTCAGATATATCACACCACCCCAGTCCTGGACTCTTTATTTTAACGATGACCTTTTAAACTAAAAGCTGTGCTCCGCCCCTCATGGGGCCTAATCTGCAGCCAAAACACAGAAACGTTCACACATGCATCAGACACGCCCACTACAGCCGAGTCCGATACCAGAGCCATGATGTCTTACACACATCTATCTACGTGTCATATCTGAGACATTGGAGCACATTAGGAGATAAGGAAGACAAACAACATCACAAAACAGTGAAAGACCTCCTGTGGAACATGATCCCCGACTGCTCGGTTTCACAGTTTTTTCTGCTCTTGGATCTGTATGATGTCATAAAGAGGCGATCTCTCTAATCTGGAAAGCTCCACCCACCCAAAGCTCAAACCGGGCAGCCAATCACAAGAAAACTGATTTTAAAGGGGGCGGGGTTTAAACAGCTCGTTTCAGTCAGAGGACAAACTGAAGGCCCGCAGCAAGGCTCAGTATGATTTCAGGGGGGATTATTTTGAACTGTGAATCATGCAAAGCTGCTTTAGTTGCGTCGAGAAATAAAATTATGGCGCTATAAATAAATAAATAAATGTTTAGTCCTTAATCCAGCCTTGCATCTGGGCTGGCATGAGCTCAGGATTAATCTGTGTGAACTGTGCATAATATATTAGAAAACAAAGATTAATTTTAACTTTAAATCACATAAAGCTACTCTAACTGCAAGGATAAGCACATGGAGCTGGGAATGAGTACAGGTCCTCTTTAAAGCAAGTCTATAAAAGCAGGCAGTAAGAAGGTGAGTCTGTGAGGGGTCCCGAGGGCTACAACCCCAACACCTTTGAGATTCATGCAGTCAAGCTTCTTTCACATACAGGTGAAAACCAGACCAGGTGATCGGCAAAAATCAGCTAAAACCAATTCTGAAACAAACTGGAAGCCAGGACAGGGATGGTGCGATTTCGACCAGTAAGACCTCACCAGTTCATCAGTATGGAAACGTTCCTATTAATAGGTTTATTATGGTTCTACTGACCCACAGAGACAGCAGCCTAAATGTACTGGAAGTGTCTGTTCACATATCTGTTTCTTTCAGGGCTCCATTAAAAAAAAGAAAAGCTTTGACTGCAGAGAGATGTAAACAAGTTAAAATGTACTAACTGGAGTCTCCAATGATGAGCAGCTTAAAGAGATGATTGTAGTCCTTCCCTGCCATTTGGATGGCCTTGTTTTGGATTTCCAAGTAAAACCAGTTTCATAGGAGGAAGGTGAGCTTCCTTCCCTCCAAGTGCACATGCGGCGCTCGCCTTGTTCCGTCTCCAAACGCTGACCACCTCAAGAGTTTGTCCAGAAATCACAGGTTCGCTTCCCCTTTGGGTGTGAGGACATTTCCAGTTACACTCTAGTTTCAGTTCTGATGTTCACATCGTTTTAAAAGCGAAACCGCAGCAGCCGGCAGAGTAGGTGGCACTTCTCGAGAGCTCTGCATTTATGATTCACGCTTGACGGCGAGGGCCGGCACCGTGGTTCCACCTTACTTCCAGTTCCACCCAGCGACACTCCTGTGGGGGATTTCCAACAACTCCTCCACAGTTGTGTCAGTGCAGCTCCAGCACTCCTCTGGATGCTCAGTCTTCACATGTACGGCTCCAGGATGGGCACATTTGGCATTTTGTGGTAGTGCTGATCATAAATCCCGTTACTGCCCTTCTCCTCAGAATTCCTCCCCCTCACCTCTTTTTTTTTTTGGTTGTTGCACTTGAAAGAAACTAAGATGTTCCTCTTTTTTTAACAGCAGCGGTTACATCTGCAGAGGTTTCTTTGACTCAATCCCTTCGGTTCCTCTGGTGGTTGGCTAAAAAGTCACCTGTTCCCTGTTTCATTGCACGAGGAGGGTTCACCAAAAGGAGCTAAACAAAAACAAGGAGAAAAGGTAATGAGAAGTCAGACCAAATCACATCAGACTTCACAACTTTTTGCTTGCTGTGTCCCGCCTTAACTCCCTGCCTGTTACTCAAACAGCAGCTGAGTCACTAAATATAACTTCCTATTCCTGCTGTATCCACCCCCATCCAATGCCTTATCTGTGTTAGCAATAACAGCAGCTCACTGACGGCCATCGTCCAGATTTGGTTGTTTTTCTAAATTCTTCAGGTAAAACAGCGGAGCTGAGCTGGCTGCTGCTGGGTTCGCTTTCCGTGAAAACAGGAAAGGCTGGACTTCGCTAATGCGAGCTAATCCAGCCCCAGCACGCTGTTCTGTCGTGAGTAGAGCGACGCCAATCTCCACTCCAACAAACGCACATTTAAATGTTCGTAGTGTGGCGGCAGAATCAATGCCTTCAACAATAAAACTACTCACCCCGGAAAGTCTTGGACCGATCGTCTTTGATTCGGCTCACATCAAGCCCCCAAATGTATACGTGATTCAATAAAGAAAAATAAACCTACATTTAAAGTAACGGACTGGCTCCTTTAACTAGACTTCAACGACCATGTAAAGGCACAGCAAATTATTGAATAAAAGTAGAAATTACGTGCAACCTTGTGTGTCTATACATGCCGAATTGAAGTATAATACATAACGTTGGAGCAAAGAAGTCCCAAATCTGTGTGACTCAGGTTTAAAACGCTTGGGCGTAGAAAACTGATGTTTTCGCTTAGATTTTTGAAGCAGTTTGGCAGATAATTCCATCAAACATTAGAAGAGATGGATATTGGTCTGTGGATGGCCTCAGGTCACTGCTTCAGCTTTAAAAATCTTTAACGGCCGTTACTGGCAGTTTCTGACCCGCTGCTGGGACAACACGTTCGAAAGTCTCTTATTGCGCGAGCGTTTGTAGCTTTTGGTGGAACGACACGCCTGACTCCACGCGAAATATATTCATTTTTCGTTAAATGAAATCAAACTATGCCAATCCAAGACTTAGAGTCACTTGTGAAAACATTGTAAAAATGAATCAGGGACGTGCTTCAATACGGCACAAATAAAATAACACAGTGCTGGCGTTAAACTGTAGTTTTGTTCAGAGCTCGATGGTTTTAACGGCCAAACCACCGACCTGTTAAGGCACAAACGGGACAAAACTGGGGAATAAATAAATATTAACGTTAATTCAACGGGTGTAAATAAAGAAGAAAGCAATGACCGCTCGTTAAAAGGCTAAACGTGTATTTGGTACTGGGTGTACCGCTGCAGACTAGCAAGAAAACGTTTAAACTTCCAGATTTGTTCATCCAGCCTGGAGTGACGGTGTCCGGGCCCGACGCTGGCCTGCCAAGACGTCGGGAAACTTCAGTGCTCGGAGAAACTTTCAACCCGCCGCCGTTTATTTAAAAAACGAACTTACTGTGGTCATGATGCGGTGCTTGGCCGGTAGGTCATGCTCACAGACCGGTGCTACACTCTGACTTGTGCCCGTTGATTCCGCTGGCTCGCCGCTCCGACGGTCGGACCGTCTCCCTGCCGACCACACCTGACTGACTGCAGCTGATGACCCACTCTCATCATCTGACGCTGCGTTCACGGTCATGTGGGAAAACCCTGCACCCTTCAACCGCAAAGTGCACACCGACACAGAGTACTACAGCTGCTCTTTCTTTCGTTTTCTAATATCTAATCAAATCATCTTTACCCATGTACTGAAACATATGATAAGGAAACACGCCAGGGGCGTCCAGCATGCGACCGGGGGAAACAGATCTGCCCCACAAAAGGGTCCAATCTGGCCCTCGTGGACTATTTTTTCAGATTCTCAATTTAAAATTTCCACATTGTCTATTTTATTTCATGCATTTAATGTACATAATTCACTTACTTGCTGCATATAATGTCCTCCTGTATATATTCACTTAATGTACATAATGTTCTCTCTCTTTCTGCACAGCCAAGGAGCACGTCAGGATACATTTCACTGCGTGCTGTACTCGTATAACTATGGATGTGACAAAGAAAGATTCTTGAATCTTGGAGGGTTTTATAAAATATTACAATTAAAAAAAATCTTCACTTGGAAAGTATCATGAGAGTTTGAATCATCATAGGTTTTACAGCCTTCTTACTGACAAATACTTACTGTTTCCTCCATTACAAACGAACCATTGAATGAATTGTTCATTTTCTACAGTGGGAGCATAGTTACAAGAATAATAACAATAATTTCACAGTAATAACTTAATAACACAGATTTATTTGTTAAAGTTAAAACATGGGTAGTGATGCTGATTTATCTTTGAAAGGGTAAAATTAAGAAAAATTAAAAAGAGACAGAGAAGTAAATGAATAATAAAATCAATGCAGAAAGACAAATAACGTACAATCAAAGGTGAAAAACAGAGATGCAAAATGGTCACTATGACACTTTAAAATGACCCCAAAGCAACTAAAAGAATTACAAAAATTACTGAAAGGAGTCGTCTTGAAAGAGGCTCAAACCCATCAGACAAAAAGGTCAAATGAAAAGGACGTAGGGTGAGTACAAAGTACATAATAATACTACAAAGACACAAAAATGCAAAAAGCAAGTCCACTGGAATGACATGCTGTTAATGAGCTTTCCCTCTGTGATCAGTAAAGAGTGAATGCTAAAGAAACCAAAACTAAAATTCACAGTTTGAACTTTAACCAAAATATTTGAAACACGGAGCTCAGAATCAGAACTTGTCTGTGTCGTGTGTGAAGTCAAAGTAGTGACAAGCACACACTGAACGATGGCGTGTCACCAGTTCTAGTATTACAACAGCAGCTTGCGCTTATGTCCGGTCACACCAAGATTTCCGCTGGCAGGTCACTTTTTTACCAACAAAAAGTATTTCACAAGAAATTCTACGGACATTTAAAAAGCTGCTTAAGAAACGAAGCCAAAGGAAAAATGTCACAAACGACTGCAGGAAATAAATCAGCCGGGTGGCCCACATGTGGCCCACATACATGTGGCCCTATATCTGTACATGATTTGTAACAGTATCCTGTTGCAAAACTTTATTTTGAAATTCAGAGCTCCAAGCTTTTATTTTGTAACGTTACACTTGTTACTCACTTAATACTTTGTGTTAAATGTTTTTTTTTCCACACTTGTAATTTTCAGTAATTTGCAGATTCAGCTGAGCTCATGTTTTGGAGCCAGAGGCTGGTCTGCTGTCACCATGTGAGAAACGTAAAAATGTGTGAACACGTCGTGTTGCATTTGGTGCTTTATTGCTCTGGTGAATCATCTGCGCACAGCGGGCAGAAAGCGGCCTTGATTTAAAATTACTGCATTCATACAACGAGTCACTGGTTTTTCCAGGAAAACCTGGGCTAATTATACAACCTACCTGCTCAAAGACACTTACAGTTACCATCATTATTAAACTGTGGTGTAGCGGTTCTCAAACGCTGGGGCGTGGGCAACAAGAAGGAAACATGAAGTGAAACTCAACTGAATGAACAGGACTTTTTTTTTTTTTCAGGAAAACAGATTGTTAGGAGACAACTGCTCAGCTCCTGTTTTTGTTCATGATAAAAGTATAAAAAGACTTTTGTGGCTTTTTATAGAACAATTGTGGTGAAAACTGAGCAATTATGACCGTATGTTTACACCATAAAAATAAACGTGCACTGCATCATTTTTTTTAATTAAATCTGTTACTACAGTACAAATACTTTTACATTGAAAGACTTAGATTTAGTGTTAGGAAATTAAAAACTAGGATTAATGTATGAAAATTGCTTGTTACAGTTTCTGAATAAGAGGACAAAAACTGAAATTGTTCAGTCAAAAGAAGCAAACTGAAGTAATTCTCTGCACTACAACAAAACCTCGATTACTGCTACTTAAAGGTGCATTTCCTCTTTGACACTCGGCGTTAACAGAACGTGACTGCTAGGAAGTTTCAAAACATCTTTTTACTGTTAAGAAATGCAAGTTGAAATAATGCTCAGTTGTACTTCTCATACGCAGTGAGTCGATGTGACCGTTATTGGACCGAGTGAGCTGTTAAACATTCTTATTTCCAGCAGAAGCCTGTTGAGAAAATGGTGTTAAAAGTTAAAAGAACAGCAACACACCCGCTGCTCAGAACTGGTTAAAGTTGAAGTCACAAACTGCAGAAAAACAACAAGAGTACCTTTAAAGTGTGACACAAAGCACAGCAACAGAAAACTCCCAGACAAATAAAATGTACAATTGCCTTTTATTATTGTTATTAATCATTTGCAACAAAGAAATTAACCACGTTTCAGTTTCCGCTCACATTAAATGGAACTCACATGATAACCAAAATACAGACAGCTCATATCTACAGGTGAAACGCAACACAGAGTACAGGTACAGAGGAACAGTGCTAGAGTTACGCTTTACTTAACTGGGTGAACTTTTTACTGAGCTCATAAAAAGAGACGTACACGCCAGCCTCGAGCCATCGCTGCTTAAAAAAAACAAAAAAAACAAAAACCCACTAACACTGGAGACCTCCCGGCGACGCAGATCTGCTGGCTCTGGAGTTTGTGTTGTAGTCCAGTTCAAACACCACAGAAGAAGAAGGGAGGCGTCTGCTGTCGGCTCACTTCCTTCGTCTGCTGCTCGATGATTGGTTCGGTGACCGTCTGTTGCTGCTTCTACCAGCAAAGAGTTGAAGAAAAAACAAACAAGTCATTTCCAGACCTTTTTCCACTACTACTCCACTTTAATATAAACAAACCTTTATTCATACAAAATCGTTTCACAACAGCTAATGTGAAACAGGTGCATTAGATACAAAAAGCACCAGCTTCTGCAGATATATCTGCATATATGAACAGGGAGGTTAATTTGAGATGTTCCGTCTTCATTTTTGTAGCCTGACAGGAAGTGGTGATGTGTTCATTCCTATTTGTTTTACAGTTTATGGCAGGTGTGTCAAACACGTGGCCCGGGGGTCTGAAACCGCCCGCCAAAGGGTGTCAAAGGGCTTCAAAGTTTGGTCTCCACTTCTAGCAAATCTCCTGGTCTTCTCGCCCTGCATCACTTACTGTGTGAATGGGTGGATGACTGGATATGTAAAGCGCTATATAAATACAGGCCATTTACCATTTACTGCTGCACATCTCACTAAACAGCACTAAACACAACCTGTTTATTTTTTAATAATTGTATTCAGATATAAGCCTGCTGAAGTAATCAGGACATGTAATCACAGCAGGCTCTCAATATATTTTAGATTCAGCATCATTTAAAAAATACATTTAAAACTTACTCCACAAATGATTTTTCTAATTCTGTAAAACCAACCAAAACGAATAAACGACACCATAGGCTGCTGTCGCTCTATGTCAAGTTCAAATGTCCCGGGTGGTTACAGACCTGCGGCTCGGTGAGGACGCCACTGGTCTCACGTGTCGGGGAGGAGAGTAACTGAGGGAGCGAGAATCTCTCAGCGAATCAGCCGGCACCCGCTGAGGCCTGACGGGGCTGCGAGCAAAACACAAATCTGTCATCAGACTACCGCGCTGCAACCTCGGTATAATCAAACATCACTGTAACCATTAAAGCTGAAGCAGGCCGGTACTCGCCTAACGGCTCAGCGAGTATGATAACAATAACTTCCAGAGAAGTGGCGACTACACAGGACAAAAAACATTCATTGGGCAACAGTTCATTTCATCTGCCTGTTAATGCAGTTTAACATTTTACAGGACCACTGAGATGTTTTTCATGAAATCTTTAAGCTAGCTGCCAGCTCGCCACTGTTGCCCAAAGCGATGTCACAGCTGATGATTAAAAACACAAACAGCAACAAACTATTTTGCAACTTCCTGTTTCCACGTGTTCTACTCCTGAGTGTTTCTTTCTTTCCATCTATCCGGAGACTTTCACTTCAAGCAACAGCATAAACGTGTCGTTGCTGTGGTGAAGGTATTAAACAGTGTTTGTGTGGTCCTCCCTTCTTACCTTCTCTTCTTTGCTTCCTTCTCGTTGTCAGAGGAAGAGGAAGCAGAGCTCTTAGCTTTGGCTGCCTTCCTGTTGGAGAGAAAAGAAAGCAGTCTTAGTTCATTAATGGTGTGACGCACACAGTGAACTCCACCGTCAGCTCAGATTATCAGTCTGCTCACCCGTTCTCCTGCTCGGCTTCAGAATCTGAGCTGTCTGAAGAGGACGAAGATGATGACGATGAGGAGGAGGAGGATGATGAAGAGGAGGAAGAAGATGAAGAGGAGCTGGAGCTGCTGCTCTTCATCTCTGCCTCCTTCCCGTTTACAGCGCTCTCGCTTCTGCCCGTTCGTTCGGGTGGCTGGCGGCTGGCTGGCGGCGACCGCTTTCCGCTTTGACCCCGGTGCGGCTGCTTGCCGTCTGGTTGGCTGCTCCCCAGAGATCTTTGCGGGGTCACTTCAGAGCGGCGAGAATCCGACTGTGAGCCTCTCCCACCTGAGGGTGGAGCATGAGAAGAGTCTCTAGAAGCGCCCTGTGAGGCAGAGGGGCGGCTTTTCTGCTCCCTCCTCTCGTCCTGCTGATCTGCTCTCCTGTCCCTCTCTGATGGTCCTCTGCTGTCTTTCCTCTCTGGCGGCGGTGACTGTGAAGACGCAGAGGAAGAAGAGGAGCTGGAAGAAGATGATGACGAGGAAGAAGACCTGCGGGGTTGGGGAACATCCTTTGGCTGCAGGCTTTCTTTTTCCTTCTCCCTTTCTCGCTCCTGCTCGAGCTCCCTCCTCCTGACCCTCTCACGTTCTCTCTCCCTTTCTCTTTCACGTGAGAGCGAGCGACTTGTCCTTCTTCGCCGCTGTGGAGACGGAGACCGCCGAGGCCTGGGGGGGGGAAAGATTTGACTTTACTCTGTTACTCTGCACAGTCAGCATGGCAGAAATTATTGGATCGCCGCCCACAATACACACAATGATGTCAGATTATAAACTTCCATCTGAAGTAAACTAAGTTTTTATTTATAATGACACGTTAGTACATACAAGAGTTCAGAACCCTAATTAATATTAGAGGGGGCTGATCTGAAGTTCATACATCAGGACAGGACCGAGCTGTTTTTAGGCCAGCAGACAGAGGTAATCTCTCCAGCATGGTCTGGGTCTGTCCCAGGCCCTTCGTCTGACAGGACATGCCTAAAACACCTCACCCAGGAGACATCCTCACTTACACTTAGCTGTGAACTGCTGCAACGCGAGCTGGAGGTGAGCTGAAGCCAGCCTAACAGCATCATCTGCAAAAACCAGAGTTGAGAATCTGAGGCCAAACTGGAGGCCTCCTGCCAGCTGGCTACGCCCACATGGCAATCCAGAGACACCACCCAAGATGTGACTTTGTAGAGGCATGTCAACCAGGACAGCCCTACAACATCCAGAGCTTTCAGGAGCTCAGGGGAAAACTTTACCCACCCCAGAGGTCCAGAAACCAAGGAGTTGTTAGCTGCCTCAGTGACCTCACCCCAGGCTAACCAAGTCCAACAGGACTGCATTAGCTTGATGGATCTCTACCGCAACAGGGAACAACCATCATCGCAGCTCCTGCAGCACCCACCCTTGAAGAGCTCATAGACCCAGGCCTCTGCCTCGTGTTTCCGACACACCCTCACTTAAAGGTTTAGGTGTGCCAGCTCTGTCCACCACCCCCCACCCACCACCTGATCACCAGCACTGCAAACTGACTAATATTAGGAAAGAAGACGACCGAAGGAAACATTAGTTTCACATTAGTGATCTCAGTGTTTTCCAAAGATTAGTGCATCTTTGGAAAACACTGACTCAGAATGTCACAACTATTCAGAGACATGCAGCTGCCATCACATGTCCACAGCTTAAGCATTTGATATTTGCACATCATTGGATTCTGTTTTAATTACATTTTATTCAGCGTCCCAACTATTGGAGAGCTGTGGTTGTAAATTTGCCCCCTAAATATTCATCATGTGATCTGTTACCTACTCAAGATTTACTTCGTACAATTTTCCCTTCTGTTGCCGACGACTGGAACTCTTAGGATTTGGTGCGTGCTGTAGCCGTGTACTGCTCTTAGACAAGCTCAAGCACAGTCACAGAAAAAAATACAATAAAACATAAGATGATGACGTCCCTGTGAGGCTGTTCATTAACGTGAGAGAATATGGATGTTGCCTCATGACAACGCTGCCCTGCAGACCCTGCACACTTACATGTCGGCTTGTCTCTTACCTGTTGGGGGGGCTTCGTCTTCTTAGACCTCTTGAAGTGGACCTGCTACGTCTCCTTGGACTTCTGGACCTGGTCCTCCTGATGATCCTATCCCGCTCCCTCTCCCGGTCTCTGTCCCTCTGCCTCTGCCTGTCCCTGTCTCGGTCTGACCAGGCTGGAGGAGGTGGAGAAACTCTTCTGGACCGGGCTGGGGGGTCCTGATACTGCCTGGGTGGAGTGCGACGGGGGGGTGAGACGGTAGCTTTCCTCTGGGGTGGAGAGCGTGACCTCCGGGCAAAGGGGCTAGACCTTGTGGCTCCCCTGGTTGTGTCTTTGTCCCTCCCTCTCTCCTTTTCCCCAGCCTTTACCTCTGCTCTCCCCCTCCCACCATCAGCCTCAGAGGGAGAATATCTCCTGCCTGCTCTGGTGCCTGCTCTGCTGGGTGGGGAAGGAGGTGGGCTGGGACTGTCCATCTGTGTGGGGCTGTAGCGTTCCTGGCCTTTGGTGCGGCGTGAGCACTCCTCTGTCGGAGCTCTTTGAGGCAGTCTTTCCCTCTCGGGTGCATCTCTTCCCCCTGCTCCTCCTCCTCGCTCCCTCTGGGAGCTTTTGGGTGTGTCGCGCTCAGAGGCCGAGCTTTGCTGTTTACCGTTGGCTAAATGTCTCTGGACTGCAATCCCGATGGCAGACAGTGCAGCTTTTCCTAGGCTGTCCTTCTCCCTCTGTGGGGATCCAGCCTTTTTTGACTTGTCTTCATCTTCAGAGGATGAGGACGAGGAGGAGGAGGAGGAAGATGATGAAGAAGATGAGGAGCTATCACTGTCACTGTCGCTGCTGCTATTGCTGCCGCTACTACTGCTGCTGCTGCTGCTGCTGCTGCTCTCCCGTTTCTCAGCAGGCTTCTCCCTCGCCTCCGGTCTTTCACTCACCGCCTTCTCGGCAGGCCTTGATTCATCTCGCCTGATTTCTGAGGACAATCGAACCTCGTCCCGCTTCCTCTTGCCTTCCTGGACTCTGTCTTCTTCCCTCTGCTTGTTCAGATGCCGGTCCTTCTCCTTGTTGCTCTCTCTGTCCGTTTCTCCTCTCCTGTCGTTCTCCTTTTCCCTCTGACGTCCATTGGTGACAGGTGAGTGGGAAGCAGGTGACAAGGAGCCACGGGATGGTTGTCCGTCCCTCTTCCTGTCATTTCTCTGCTGGCGAGGAGGCGTCTCTCTCGCAAGTCTCCTTGCATCCTTCCTGTTGTCCCTTTCGTTTGGCACTGCTGACTGCAGATCATTAGTTCTGCGCTCCCTCTCTCTACTCCTCTCCCTCCTTGTTCTCTCTTTTTCAGGGGGAGGCGAAGGCGTGGAGGAGGAGTCATGTCTTGACTTTTTGTCCAGTTTAATTCCGTCTTTGCTCCTTTCCATCCTGGTTTCCTGTTTCAGAGGGGAAGGGGAAGGGGATGAGGAGGAGTCATGTCTTGTCCTCTGAGGGATGCTCTCCTTTCCTTTGTCCCGCTGTTCTCTGCTCCTTGAACGCCTCCCTCTCTCCATCTCTGGACTTGCTGTTCTTCCCCTCTCCATGTCTCTGCTTCTGGAGCGCTTACTTCTCTCCCCCTCATTTTCTCTGCTCCTCGATCGTCTCCCCCTTTCCATCTCTCGACTCCTCGATCTCCTTACCCTCTCCGTGTCTCTTATTCTTAAATGCTGCCCTCTGTTCCTCTCCATGTCCCGACTCCTCGATCGTCTCCCCCTCTGTATGTCTCTGCTTCTGGAGTGCCTATTTCTCTCCTTCTCCTTGCTTCTTGAACGTCGTGATCTTTCCCTCTCATTTTCTAAGCTTCTTGAGCGCCTTCTCTTCTCCATCTCTACACTCCTCGAGCGCCTCCTCTTCTCCATGATCTCCACACTCCTCGAGCGCCTCCTCTTCTCCATGATCTCCACACTCCTCGAGCGCCTCCTCTTCTCCACCTCTACACTCCTCGAGCGCCTCCTCTTCTCCATGATCTCCAAACTCTGGGAACGCCTTCTTTTCTCCACTTCTCTGCTTCTTGAGCGCCTCCCTTTCTCACTCTCCTTCTGCTTGCTCCTGGACCTCCTTCCTCTCTCTGTGGCTTTTGCCAGCTGTGGTGGGGGAGAAGGGGATGAGTAGTTGTGTCTCCTGGAGGTCCTCTCCATCTCGCTTGGTCGCTCTTTTTCCCTCTGAAGATTGGGCCTCTTCTAGATGACATGAAATAGCGTTTCCGTCACTTTAAGGTGTCGATCAATATTTAAATAGTATTAGTGATCACACACGCTCAGCCTTACCCGTTCGCCCTGTTCTGGGCTCTGCTCCTCATGGCCTCGTCTCCTCCTGTCTGGAGAACTGCCTTTTCTACCTTCAACAACGTTTCTTCCAGTCTGGTCCTGTTGGCGTGATCTTGGTGGCGCCGGAGATGGGCTGCTGCTAATGTAAGGGGGGGCGGATTT